CTAAAGAACAACAATTCATTTTATATATATAGATGATAGCAGTGATGATGAATAAATAATTATTTACCTAAAAAAACGATTGTTTTTATTTTATTTTTATGTAAAATCAAATAATAAGTGTATATCTAACTTCCTGTAACAAAAAATATTTTTGGCCAACTTTTGAGGCTAAATACCACACAGTGCGACGGTTAAAATCGTATAAAGTGTAAGAGTCCAATATTAATTTGAATGATATTACTATTGAATCAGTAGACAATTTGTGAGTGCATTTTTTAGTAACGCATTTAATCACGCATTAGGCATTAAGTCACGGTGTCATGTCATGTTTGTAATATGATCTGTATATGAATGAGATGGCCTTTGTTTATTTCTTTTTTATGTTTCAATTTAGTTCATTTTGATTTCAACACAAAACTTATAATAATTGATGATTTAAGAACAACAGAGGAATTAAGTTAATCGAGTCATTAACAGCTCTTAAAAACAGGTCCGTTATTAATAGTATTATGCGTTGTTGTTGCTCGTTAAGAAGTTTGACAAAATCCTGCTTTATAATGTTCCTTATAAATATTTGTTTGAAACTTGTTTTTAAAATTTTGTTTTTTTCCGATATCTTGTTTGAAATCGAACGAAAGGCTATAGTTATTTCAATTTATACAAAATTATACAATTTCTGTTATTGCTACTCGACTGTGACTTTGTTCGGTTTACATGTTACAAAACCGCTTTTTAATAATGTGATTATAGAACATTAGACAAAAATTTGTCATTCTTTAATTAGTTCCATTAGGATGATTTAATAAAGTTATGTTATTTTATATGTGGAACTTGGCCGGCGCACTACCGTGCGCTTAGATATACAGGGTGACTGGTGAATTACTATCGATATTTGAGGACGTGATATTTGACGATTATATATGACAAAATAAAAATTAATATAACATAAATATTAATAAACTTCTAAGTAAAGTTATATATATATATACAGAGTGACTGGTGAATTACTATCGATATTTGAGGACGTGATATTTGACGATCATATATGACAAAATAAAAATTAATATAACATAAATATTAATAAACTTCTAAGTAAAGTTAACCAAAAGTTATGTAATTAATTACGCATCGTATGAACACCCTACAGATTAGGTATACACACACACTCACACAGACGCGGCGGCGGCGTAGTGTTGTATCAGCACGCCGCCGCACGCGTCCACACTTGCAACACTTGGAACGTGTCAACACTTTATTTATTTATACGGAAATTTTGTCAAAAATTAAGTACCTATTTTTTTTACATAATTCGAATGAGAATCATGTACCGAGTATGCTCCTTAAATATTGATAGTAATTCACCAGTCACCCTGTATATATATATATATATATATATATATATATATATATATATATATATATATATATATATATGTATATATTTTTTATTTGTGTAATATCATAATGTATTTGACCCCGTGGTATAGTTCTGTACACTTTTGATTTTGTTTCCCATTGAAACTTAATTGCTGTAAAACAATCAAAAATAATATATAGTACAGTTTTTAATAGTACGATTATCTTATGTTTTTTTATCTATAATCTCAGTAGACCGTATTTACTTTAATAAAATTATTCGTATAATGTGTGACATTTTCAATTAAATTATTATTTTCATCCGAAAAACTAATAAAAATCAAAATTGCATAAGGTAAAATTCTAAAAAAGAAAAATATTAATTTGAGACATGCAAGTGTACAGGTGTTGGATAGAATTGAAAATAGCTGATAAAATATTTTAAGATTGATTTTATAGCTAAAGACAGAATAAAATTTTCACCCTAACAAAAAAAGTTATTAAGTAAACAATATAGTTCAGGGAATAAAATATTCAATTAGATATATAGATTGATAAATAGTCAGCTATATGAAGCTAAGATTTATATTTCAGATAAATTTGATCTTAAAAAATTAGACAGAGTATTATTAAATAAATATAATATGTTGTGGAAGAGGTGTTATAATTCTAGATAGTCAAAACATCAAAATTATAAAAACAAAGATCAATACAATCAATTTAAAAAAAGTACAAAGTGTACATATAAGAATCTTCTCTCAAAAACAATATTTCATATAAAAAAACTCCTTATAAAATTTAGATTTATTTAACTATAAACAATTAATATTTTTTACATATATCATACTTACGTATTCCGGTCGCAAAAAGTTGATTGATTATCGACATAGTAACTTTTAATGAATGAACACAACAAAACCATTTACTAGTGCTCTAGAGCACGGCTCGTTATACACTGTAGTGGAATGGTTGTATGTAAATTAGAAATTAATAAAATAATTATTGACACAAAAATAAGTTTGATTTTAATATCAAATAATTTGTTTAAAAAGTTATTACATTTTTTTATATTAATTAGTCAAACTTAAATGAAAATTTTATCGGTATATTATACTACGTATTATTTTATATGATTCTATATATTTATCATTATTTCTTTAAATAACTCGGTTTACTGACGTCTTACAGTCAGTTTTTTAAACAACCGTAAAATTAAAATTAAGAAAGCCGATACAGAAACCCAGTCGTACTGAAAAAGGGTATATTTTTTTGCTGCAACTCCTTACAGCCCTCGCACTTATGTTGTAAAATATATTATACATATATTGATTTAAAGCCATTTTTATAAAACAACTTATTAAATTGTGAATGTTTTTTATATGTAATAGAGTTAAATTGCTATCGCTGACTAATTTATTTTAAAGCCCCTACTGCAGAGTCTTGTGTGTGACGCTTATGCCTGCATAGTAGTATCCCTCAGGCTCGAGTGTCTAATGATTTGTATTGTGTTGAAGATTCGTGAGCGAAACATCCACAAAACAAATAGCCATAGTATCTTGCCTAGATCGGTCTTTAGAATTGTACGCATTGTACAGGATATCCTTTTGTAGGTAGCTAGACGTCTAACTTGAGCAGTGATTGCTGGAGTACGAGGAACACTCGTCTTCCAATCCTTATACTTTGATATTCTGGAAATCTTGGCCAACAGTATTGGCCTCATATCTCAAGCCATTTAATTAAACACCTGCTTCATATTTTACTTTAATAGTTGTTTCAAAGTCGTAATGTTACAGATTATAATTGTTTGCACCATTTTCGTAATTGGTTCTATTAATTATTTATAAATTTAGAAATAATAACAAAAATCATTAGGAATTACATTTTAATGGTTGAATAAATTAGATAATATTTTTCAACTAGAGCAAGACTTGGATGCCGATAAATAGTTTTAGGAACAGTTATATACAGTTATAGAAATATAAAAACAAATTCTTAGCTGTATGCTGAGATTATTATGAATGAATAAAATTATGGATCAAGAGTTACATATTTTATTTGGGCAATGAAGGATATCGAAGGAAAATTTCCTGGATTTTAAATGGGTTGGGGTCATTTTGTTTATGGTAATTTTCAGTTGTCCAACTGTTTTAGTTACTTTAGTTCTCTTAACCTTCAATGTTCCAAACTTCATGTTACGTACACGTGCATTTTTTTCTTAGTTTATTTGATTCATATCTTTATAATTTTTGAACTCAAATGTTATACTAACTATTACTCTGTATATTTATTTGGATTATTCATAACACTAAGTTAATGAGACGAAACTGTTCATAATTTACCGTGCGGGTGCCGTCGTTGTAGTGAGAGGAGCTTCAACAGTGACTGGGACTTGCGACCCAGGTGTAGGTTTAAGGGGTTCCTATATAACGCGCGTTAATGCTCACCTCCACCGTCCAAGCTCCTCTCTCTACCTAACCAAATTTTAAAAAACCTACTAGGGCTGTCTTCGACGTATGTACGTTCCAAGAATGCATTAATGTGAGTTCTGGACAGGCCCAAGTCTTTTAGTAGGTTATAGAGAGATTTAGCTGTTACATCTCTCGCTCCCACATCTACCGCGTACAAATCAACGACGAACCTATTTCGAGTAAGTTCATCAGTGATCTTGTAATATTAATTGATCTTGATGGTATAGTCTTTGGGGATTTTGGTTTCTTAAGAAACAGTAAGCTCTATTGATACAACGTATTTTAAAATTTGCGAATACATAAATGTGTTTGGTCTGGAGGCCGATGCATCCTCATTATAGTCTAATCCGAAGCTGCTTTTAGGATAGAGTAAGGCTTAAAGTAAGACTACCGGCTACCATCGGATTTACAATATTTTAAACATACACACACATACACACACACACATATATACATATATATGAATTGAAATAATAAAATCCAGATAATATGTATAAGCTTAATTCGAATTTATTTAGGATTTGGATCCTGGAAAATATATATTTATATCGTAAATAAAGAAATATTCTTTTAATTTTAAATTAAAAATAAAAGAAGCAGTATAATTACATTTTATTTTTATTATGTTTTAATATTACATTACATCAACCCAATGACAATATATTTAAGTACAGAAGCATTAGGTTTTTAACGTTCTTATAAGCAAAATTTATGTATGAACAAATATATCATCAAATTATTCTTATTAGTAAAATAAAAGCATCTTGTTATATGTAATTCGTTTTAATGTAATGACTACGAGCTAAACGGTAACGATTTATGCAAATGGCACTACTTTAGTATCATTTGTAAATAAATATATATTTAAATATTAATTAATTACAAAGATTAAATCCAAAATTTTAATAATATTAATAAATAAAGAAGATTCCGACACTATAATATTTAAATTATAAATTTGTATAAAGAAATATTAAGAACAATTAATAAATGTTATAAACAAAAATTTAAGTACATATAAGCTTTAAAAATTAATAATAATAAAAATACAAGAAATTTTTATATTGAGAGCCTTTTCATAAATTTTACAGCTCGGTAAATAAAATTATATATATTATTATTTTCGCCTGACTATATTAATATTGTTATGTTTCCCTTTTGATTTTATAAAGTAAATTATCGTACTCTGGTTGTTTCTTTCTTGTTTTTCGACGATAATTTAAACCATCCCGCCTTTTTATCTTTCGGTATCGATATCGATCGCGCCACTCGTTCTTTCCCATCCCTATTCAATACTTCGCTAGATTGACTCTTCTTCGTACTTTTCCTTGGTATAGTACTTTGAGATGTATCGCTTTCTTTATTTTTTCTATCTCGTCTATACAACGTCGTACTCGAGCTTGTTAATCTATTACTTTGGCTGTATGGCCTCGTGCTGAGTGTTGTTTGGCTGTATGATTTATTTTTCTGTAGCGTTCTATCATCTGTCGTTTTGGCGGGAGTTTTCTTGTGTGAATTGTCTTTGAGTTTAGATCGTCTTGGTTTCTGTGCGTAGTGTACGTCGTATTGGTCGTTTGTTTTCGGTGTCCATGGTGCGAAAAGTGAGAAACTCTTGGTAGTGCTGCGTATTTGAACGTTTGATGACATTAATGATGATACGTCGTCTCTGGAGCGATTCCTTAACATCTGACCGGGGTCGGGTATGTCTCCAACTGTTTGTATGATAAATTAATGTTAATGAAGTACATATATACTATATAAGAACATTATGTTTAAAGAAATATATGTATGTATATGTAATACAAACATGAATATGAGTGTGAATTATGATGTCTTTATAACTTATATAGTAAAAAAGAGTTTTGTAATGTTGATGGAAACGGATTAAAAATTACAAAGTATTTTACATGATATTTTAACAGGTATGACATCCCTACTAATATTATAAATGCGAAAGTAACTCTGTCTGTTTGTTTCTCTTTCACGCCTAAACTACTGAATTGATTTTAATGAGATTTGGTACAGAGATAGAGTTGACCTTGAGAAAGAACATAGGATAGTTTTTATCCCAGAATTTTGAAAGGTTCTCTTGGAAACGCGATATAACCGAACTCCGTGGGCGGAAAGCTAGTTACTATATATAGTGTACAAGTTATAATTGTGGACTATATTAGTTATAGAGTAGTGTAGTATAGATGGTAGTCTTACCGGTAGTAGCGTGTAGGAAAACTACGCTGCGTTGTGATGAATCCTCAGCACTGCTGTCGGAGGCTCGAGCTCTGAAACATTATATCATATACTTAATATCTAATGAAACAAGTGAATATCACGAAGAGACTGATTTATTATTCTAGCTGGTAAGTTCATAACAATTGTCACACATTTAGCAGCAGAGATGGCGCTACTAGTATTTAAATACATATTTTTATTGATCTAGCAACAATATGTAGGAAAATTAAACAAGAGTATAGGGAGACTTTTATTAACAAGGATAACAAGATAAATCTTTATAGTGAGCATATTTTGTATAGTTCGACTAATTATTGAATTGGATTGAGACATATTTTTTTCAGATTCAGTGTTAGATATGCCAACAAATATCGGCATTTGAATGGAGTAAATGTTGTATATAATTAATTTATACTTCGAAACTACGAAAGTAGCAATAGTTTATTTACTTACTTTAATTCTCTGTTATCTTTCCTGACTCTTAGTTCTGAAGAGCCTCGCTCATCATTTCTCCCCACTCTCCTCACATCTTGAGATCCTTTTAATGTCTTGGAACTGCTGTGGCTTCTACTCCTATCATACGGGCTGATAGGTGGCTTGCTGGCGAATTTTTTTCCAACTTGGCTCTCATTTTCCGAATTGCTATGACCTTCGGATATGTTCTTCAAATTCTTCTTATAATATTCCTTATTCTTAGGCGATTCGTTGTCTCGTAAGTTAGTCAGTGAATAGCTTTTGTTTGATAGCTGACTATGATCGACCTCATCTAAGCCGGTGCTTGAGTTTGAGATCGTCTTCCTAAGAGTTCCGTGATTTTTTATTTGGCGTTTCGTTTTTGTTATTTTGATGTTCGATTCCGATTCTTGATCAGTATCTCCGAAGAATCGCAGGTTTTTGGCTGGTGAGTTCAACGGTTTGGTCTGCTTGCTCCACACTCGACGGCTGGATTCATCCTCTGTTGTGATCACGCTCTCTTTTTCAGCCTGAAAATATATAAATACGTCATTATCATCATGTGATATTGAGATATAAGATTTTCTCGAGTTTTATACAATTAAACGAAACTAATATTTTTACAATTATACTATGCGACTTTATTTTTGACTATAAACTACGTATTCCCGACGTTTCGGCTACTTTACAGCAACCGTGATCACGGGCCACATCACGTCTGCCTGTTATGTTTCATTTAAGTATATAATGATTTTGTTTGCTAGGAAGATATTAAGATAGAAGTAAAGATTTTGTAGCTATTCTTGGTTATAACCACATTTTGATTGAAACTTTTCTTCTTCCTGGCAATTTCCCAGCTTTAGCTAGGGTCTGCCTTACATTTTGTGAATAGTTTTGGCTATTTTTTTTTTACGACCGGCCGCCTGCCTGACATCAACCCTCTTTGGGAATGCAGTAATCAGTGATGTCTAAATACTCTTAGAAAGTACATATGACTAGGAAAAATCACATTGGTACTTGCCAGGGCCAGGATCGAACCTGAGAACATGAGAGGCAGGCCTTTTAACCACTAGGTCACCACTGACAAAATTTTGATAGCAACTCTATATGGCTTAAACTATGTAAAGTTAGTTGTTGCTCATATAGCATCGAGAGCCTGTGTAAAGCTTCTATCTTCAGAAGCGTGTGATTAATGCATGTATTTACGTATGTGTATGTTTTGGACATCCCTATATAATGTAATTATAGCTACCTTGATATTCTTTTCTCTCTTCTTTCCAAGTCTGTCCAATGATTTGAACCAGCTCGACTGTGAAGCTTCTCGTCTGGGTGGACTCGGTGTAGGGCTTGGAGTGGCCAGGCGCCGTCGTTCACGGTATCTCTCAGCCTGTAACATAATAATAACGAGTTTCAGTTATATTCCTATGTTTATCTTCTATAATTAGGTAATCTATTTAAGTAATTTACAATATTCTTGGTAGTTTGTTCCCTTTGCTTTAAATAGACGTATTTTTTTTCAGGAGACATACATAGTATTATTAATAAATGTTTAAACGAATAACATATACTCTCACAGTTTCTATTAAATACCTATATTCGGAATGATTGCGAATAGTTCACAATGTTTTGATAAAATTATTCTTTAATTTAAAAGTGTTTTTTCCATTGCTTTTTGTGTCGTTTTAAATTTTATTTCTTATCATAGTTTTTTTGTAACATCATAAAAGGAAATATAAACAAGTCATCTCGATCTCTGTCCGTATGTCATAAACTTCATCAATCATGGTCTTCCTCGAGCGTTTTTTATAATGACTAATTATAATTTATTTTATGTACAATTTTTCTCTTGAATCATGAAGTATTTTTTTTTGTTTTGACAATGACGAATGTTTACAATTCATATAACACGGTAAAATGTAAATTTTGGTTTATTTAATGAATAAGCTCACATCCTACGGGGTTAAGGACCTGTTAGAGATAATTTTTGTTATTTGAACAATTTTATGGTTATCGGAGTTTTTTAAAACAAATCTGAAGACTTTTAAAAACTGTAATATGTATGTCATTTCCACATATATATTTAGGGAACACACTTTTAATTTGAACCGAACCTTTAAATTCTCGAAAGCACCCGAAGTGACGTTAAAGCGATGACGTTTGGTTTGTTCACTTTTACGCGGGAAAGTATTTTGTCAATACGACTTGTATCTTTGTAAATTTAATCTATATAAGGTGTTTTGGTTTAAGATTATAATTAGTTTTGTTCTAATTAAGGTTTTATTACCTATCAAAAAGTATTGGCATTATATGAAAATTATATTTTTTTGTGATTTTGTTAGAGTATTAAATATATATTTTACGAATTTTGGCAGCATATGGTTCTATGTACCCATTTTTTTTACAAACGAAACCAATAATATAGATATCGAAGCTCTATAAACTATTTATATGTATAATGACACCAAATTGATATTTATCAACCACTGATTCATAAATTACACAGTTTTAGTTAAAATTTCAACGGTAGCGGAGGTGTATCATGTTCAGCGTCCAAGGTCACCAGGTCTGCCATATGTTTGGTGACCTTATTGAACGACTCACAATGATGCACTTACATATACTAAAACAACTATATCTTATGTTGATATTGGTTGAACGAAATTTATGTTTCATCTAAATCAAATTGAGCAATAAAATATACGATTTATTGAAACAATATTGAATATTTTGAATTTATATATTACTACTTTCTAGTACAATACTACTTTCCGGCGAACTTCGTATCGCCCTATAATCAAGAAATATCTCTTACGTTGTTTTATTTATATTTTTGGAGTTCACCTATTAAAGCCATAAATCTCCGTGTTTTGAAGTGCGACAGAATGATTGACATATTAGTTAGTTAGTAAGAACTACTAATAAATTAAAAATTAATTAAAAAAACATTGTCCAGAGGACAAAATGGTTAATCTGAACCATTCCCAGATCCCCTTGAATACACACAAAAAATTTCATCAAAATCGGTCCAGTCGTTTGAGAGAACTTCAGTGACATACACACTCACAGAAGAATTATATATATAAAGATATAAGTCGCGTCTAAATCAAATTGAGCAATAGAATATAGGAGTTATTGAAACAATATTGAATATTTTAAATTTATTACTCATTAATTTATGGAAGTACAAAGTCCTTATACTATCGAAGATTTTATAATCGTATACAAATCATATTTTTATTACTTTGTTATGGGTATGACAATATACAATAGACAAATAATAAGTCAGAATTTTCCTTACTCCAATGTTTGAAAATCTAAGCAGTTAATATATTTTCTTTTGGACGTTCGACGATTATTAATATAATTTCTATACTTTATATTTAACTACAGTAAATACAGTATATTGTTAATCTTGTAAAGGTTATGATTTCAATGAACGTAGTAAAATATTTAAGTACATATAATTTACCTACCATTTCAACTGTAGCACGTCTTAAAGGTCGTACTGAGTCAGTCTATTCGTAAAAGGCGTTTGATATAATCATTGATGTGTTTATATCTCGTATTACCTTAAAAAGCTAACAAATTTTTACTTATACCTTAACCACTTGAATTTGTGTGTGGGTAGGTTAGTTATTATTATTACGTTATTATACGAAAGGCTCTATTTATATGACATAACAATAATGAGGTATAACACTTAAATCTCCCTACAACCTACTAAAAGACTTGGGTCTGTCCAGAACTCACATTAATTCATTCTTGGAACGTACTTCGAAGACAGCGTTAGTAGGTTCATCGCAAATTTGATTAGATAGAGAGAGGAGATTGGACAGTGGAGGTGAGCGTTTAACGCGTGTTAGATAGAGGCCCCTTAAACCTACACCTGGGTCGCAAGTCCCAGACACTGTTGAAGCTCCTCTCACTACAACGATGGACCCGACACACGCACGGTGAATACATTGAACAATGCCTCTCATTATTTCGTCTATATAACTTGTGTTTCAAAGATTACTTAAACATAACAATACAACAATACTACACGTCTTCTTTGATTGACTTAAATCATAAATGTGTTATTTTTTATGCTCCTCTATACACTTTCAATATAACTCCATTCAAACAAACAAACGAACGGTCATTCCAGAAACCTATATGTCAAGTAAAAAATTTCTAGTCATTAATTCACACTAACCAACTAATTTTATTGATGGAGTTATTGTTTGAGCAGACATCGAGCGAATGAAAATGGTATATTACTATACAGGGTGACTGGTGATTTACTATCAATATTTAAGGAGAATACTCGGTACATGATTCTCATTCGAATTATGTAAAAAAAATAGTTATATTAATTTTTATTTTGTCATATATGATCGTCAAATATCACGTCCTCAAGTATCGATAGTAATTCACCAGTCACCCTGTATATTTAACCTTAGATTCAAACAAAAAATGTATGATGATAAAATAGTATTTTCCGTATAGAATTGAATTGAATCCTACTAATATTATAATTGCGAAAGTTTGTGAGTGTGTATGTATGTTTGTTACTTCTTCACGCTCAAACGGCTGAACCGATTTTGATAAAATGTTGTATACAGGAAGCTGACGATCAGGAATAACACATAGGCTACTCTACATCCCGGAAATCCGCGGGTAACACCGCGGGGCGCAGCTAGTTAAATAATAATTTGATGTAAGGCTCATCAATATTTTAATACTGATGATATGTTAAGTATTATTAGATATTATTTTAGTATATTTTCCAGTTCAACAGCCTCCAGGTCAATGTCTCGTGACGTCATGTGAGGTTTAATTTCATCTCAGTATTATTTTGGAGCTCCTTCATATTTGTCATCGTATTAATACAATTCGTTTGTGATAATCAGTTTTAAGTATATTTTTTACTTTAGTGTTGTATATATTGGTTAACTGAGAATTGAGTTAACTGAGATATTTAATTTCTTTAATAACTTTTTTGTTATATAAATTATTTTATTTAGATTTTAGGTGATAAAATCTCTAAACCAGATCAGCGGTTAAATATTAAATGTAAAATTTATATATATGATGAAGTTCGTTGAACATAGAGAAGAACTAATATTCGTAAAAGCATTTAAATAATACTCATTAGTAACATGTTAAAAATAAATATTATTTATCTAACAAAGGCTAATAATTATCATTACTTCAACAAACCACACCTACTGGTATCGGTCATTTCTATCGATAATCGATATATGTATATTAGAGAACAACACTATACATACAATATTATCCTTACTAAATGCGAAATTATAAATGCGAAAGTAACTCTGTCTGTCTGTATGTAACGCTTTCACGCCTAAACCACTGAACTGATTTTAATGAAATTTGGTACAGAGATGGAGTTGACCTTGAGAAAGAACATAGGATAGTTTTTATCCCATACTTTTGAAAGGTTCTCTTGGAAACGCGATATAACCGAACTCTACGCGGGCGAAGCTGCGGGCGGAAAGCTAGTGATCTATAGATTGATAAAATTATTTAATATTACCCATTCATTACCTAATACAGATACTATATTCGTCTATACAGAAGAATAGAAAATAAGATATAATTTTTTATTTTGAATGTATTGTTAAAAGCTATTGAAACTGCCAAATATTTTGATGAGTGCTCACAAAAACTGAGGTCAATGACCCAGAACAAAAAGACGTTTTACAAGAGGTGTGAATTACATATACGGTGTTAGCATTCGGGACATGTGAGAACTACTGACAACTACATGATCTGATTTTGATAAGGATTTGACAAAAGCGACTAAGTTATAAATGAAACCTTCTTCTTCCTGGCAATTTACCAGCTTTATCCAGGGTCTGCCTTACATGTTGTGAATAGTTTTGGCTAATTGTTATTACGACCGGCCGCCTGTGATCACGGTATATCCGAAAAATATTAGTTTCATTTAAATGAATAATACTCGCGAAAATCCTAAGATCAGAGACCTAAGTCTCATTAATTTCGTTAGTGAGTTTGAAACTAATGTCCGAGCTGTAAAATAAAAAATAATGTAAGGCTTCTAGTATAAGCGATTTCCACGTATTATTTAGAATAGATTTTTGTTATTAGAACTTATTATCTTTTCAGTGTATGTATGTAAGTTATTTGTTCATCTGAAATCTTTCAATTAAGTTTCAAAGTCTATATTCTCAACGTATTGATATGAACCTTTGTATAAGAAAACAGTTTGGACTTGAGTCTGTGGTCACATGTGTGACGTCATACTTTATATACAATGACGTCACTCATAAGATGGCGGATCTGTTACATATAATGATATTTACAATATGGGTGTCAAATGTGAGATTTTTCAAAGAAACACGAGTTAATGAAATAACTCGAAGTGATTGATTTTGAGTGAACTTTAAATGACTGTAAATAAAAGTACCTAAATATCGTTTTATCGCAAACTAGTTTTGCCCGCGACTTCGTCCGTGGTAATTTCTGAATTAGTAATATATGTATAGATGACTGAGCGAACTCTATTCCGCTCTAGAGGCCATATATAACCAGATATTGAAATTTATTTTGTTATTTTTCTTTATTGATCGAACAGAATTTAATATAATAGTCCTTGTTTTAAGCTATCTCTCCGCCAATTTTCAACCGTATCCCTACGTTATACTCTAAGTTATAAATAGTGTAACTGACAATACTTTCTTTTATATATACATTTATATTACAAGAACTAAAAATACTATTATTATTTTGGTTTCAACAAGTAAAAGAACGTTTTTTAATAGTTCTATATTTTTATTTTATTTCTATATTAAGCTTCATTCTGAAGACAGACGACAAACATTCATCCCACATATTTCACCAGCCCGTATTGTATAGGGAAACATCGTTTACAATAATTACATAATAATTTTATGCAAAACTATAATTTGACGCAACTTTTAACCACGCAAGAGCAATAAAAACTTAGTAATGTTTGCTCAGTAACTTCAAATTCACGAAATACGAATGGTATTTATAGTTCTTGACATTTATAAACAATGCGATTGGTTCATATCGGATTGAAATAACAAAAGTTTTTAACCGAAATACCCTACAATAGATATACAAGTACATATATAATAACTTAATTAGCTCAAAATTATGATTTAAATATTGATATATATCTTTTTATTAGAAATATTATAGAAGTTTTTCGGATACTACGCGTTTTTTTCATTATTTTAACTACATACTCCCGACGTTTTGATTCCTTTACAGTTTACAGCAATCATCATCACGGGCAGATAAGGTTAATTTTTATTTTTCAAAAGTATGCAAAAGCTACTATCTAAGTTTCTCATTTAAAATAACTTAATACATTCAATATTATATACATAATATTTCGCGTATTGACCTATAATACATAATGGCCTGCGTACGATAACTTTCACTTATATTTCAATGTTAACTATTATGCATTTCAAACTATTTACTATATTATAATATAAAACAAAATTGAATGTTAACTTAATGTTTTTTCATTTAGATAATTTATAATAATAGTTTTGCGGGAAAATTCTTCGTATTTAACTGAGTGAAGCTATGTTAAATGTACAATGGAAATATTTTTTAACAGTGTTCATAATTATGGTAAATGTCAAACATATTCAATTAATATGAAGCTTTAGTAAGGAGAAATAAGAATAACGAATCATTACTAATTAAATACAAAACTGATTAATTTAGAGTACATATAAGAAAAATTGTTATATACGTAGATATTAAATAAGTAATTTTATTTTTGTTCGATAAAGTTTGTTTTGATTAAAAAACAATGCCTGAAAACTATATTAATAATATTTAATGTTTATTGGACATACAAAAACATTTCTTTTACTATCAAAACCAGGCAATAAGATTAATTTTACTTACATAACAATATGATCACAAATAATTAATCAAATATTTTTTAGTAACTTTTAGTTCGTTCGTTCGTTTATTTGTAATGTACAGTGGTTACTTCAAGTTGTGTAATCCATTAGGACTTACCAGTGCTGGTGAGTCCAAAGCTCTGCGGTCTCTCGTACGTCTTTCAGTCTCGGCGTCTGAAGCACGTTCGCTGTCTCTCTCTGACGAATACCTTCTTCTATCCTCCTTGTATTTGCTGTCTCTTTTTAAGGTTCTATCGTAACTGGATGAAATTTTTATTTGTTAATGAAATTAACTCAAAATATAGACAGGCTAGCAAGTTGGTGACCCCTAAGTACGTCTATTATATCTTACCTCCCCTTAAATTCATTTTCTCTATACTTTTCCGGTCTTCTCACATCATCTCTCACTGGACTTCTGTATTTATCTAAGTCTTCTCTCGAGCGAGTGTATTTCTTTATATCTTTTGTGTCATCCCGTCTCCTAACTTCTATGTCGCTGGGTTCCGGATCTGTGTACCTGTAATGGTAAATCATCATCATCGTCAGTCTATTAGAGCCCACTGCTGAGCAAAGGCTCTCACGTGAAGAAGGTTTGAGCATTAATCACCACACTTGCTCAAAACGAGTTGGTGATTTCAAACTTATTACTATGAAATTATAAGTCCAGGTTTCCTCACGATGTTTTCCTTCACCGTATGTCAGTTGTGTCTAAATACTCTTATAAAGTACATATGACTCGGAAAAAATGACATTGGTACTTACCAGGATCGAACCCGCGCCCTCGTGCATGAGAGGCGGGCCTTTAACCACTAGGCCACCATTGTATGGTATATAATATAATAATTTCTGTACATATAAGTTTTGCTACTGTATGTTATTTTGTTAACTTACCGTCTATATTCAGGGTCATCTCTCGCAAGATGTTCGGGGCTCTTGAGTACCCGAGTGCGATTTTTCGGTTGGACTGGTTCTTTCTCTTTCTTGCTCTTCTTGGAAGAGTCGCGAGAGAACAGCTGTTTCATCTAAATATGTCGAAATTTTAATATTAATATATTTACATCTTTATATAAGATTCTGTTAATAGAAATAATGTATACCTTTTCCAGTCCAGAAAGCTTCTTTGTAGCTTTCGGCGGCTTCGCACTGACTTTATCTTCAAGGCTGCTGGGACTTTTGTCGTATCGGTGAACTTTAGGGTCCAAAAGCGACCCGTCATCAGCGCTTCTATCTCTTGGACTGTACTCCTTTCTGTCACTACCTCTATAGTCTTTGTAGTGTAATAGATGAGGGTTGTTAGCGTATATTTGCTCACTGGGATAGTTATCTTCAGTGTGCTGCCTTTCGCTGGCCAAAAACATGGACGTATCTCTTACGTCATCATCACTCTCGGGTCTTCCTTTTCTAGTTCTATGAATTTCTCCACTGGAGTTGTGCCTGAAGTCATTTTCAATACCTGAATCTACTAAGCGATTGTCGAAGTCAAAACGGCGCGGAGATCTCTCTTCAAGGTAGTAGTCCCTGCTATCGCCCGAATCGTGGCGGTTTATGCTTGTATGGCGTCTTGAATCTTTTTCTTTACCTTTCAAGCGGCGTAGTGAATTATGGTATGATTCATGTTTTGTATTATATCCAATATTAGCGTACTCCTCTTCTCTCTCTTGCGCTATTTCAGGATTCGATGCATAATGACCCTTTCTTTTTCCAAAATAATCGTCTCTTACTTTGTATTTCTGACCACTCTGTACGAGATCATGACTAGATGCAAAGTGCTTTTTAACTTTGTATTTCTTTTCTTTATATTCATCTGGAGATGAAATAGGTTTGCCAGGATTAGATTCGAGACTCGGTGGTTCATATTCGGGTTCTGGTGGAAATACCTTTCTGCGTGTTTTGAATCTCTCGGAGTCTAAGTTGTCAATGAACTCCCGCCTGTCTATTTCTCCTATAGGCGTTTTGTGGTAAGCTCTCGATTCTGTGCTGTATTTAACCTTGTGACTATCAGAATCGTATTTGTAATCTTCAGTCAAAGTACTTTCAACTCCATCTCTCTCTAAAGTGTGACGATAGTATTTTACAGTATCATTAACGTACTTTTCTGTTTGTTTCATACGTTTTTCTGCTTCGTAAATCGGATCATTTTCTACTAGATACTTTGATATTGGCTCATCAAAATTGATTTTTTCCCTTTCAAATCTTCTAGCATTCAACCGCGATTCCAGCAACTCTCTTCTATGACTTAGTTCGTTGAAGTCCAAATCAATTTTATTGTCAGATTCATATACTTTTTTTTTCGTATCCATCCCATCCGCTCTACCTCTGAAACTCTCAATTGGTTTATGATCATCAAATTCTTTCCCATTTAAACCATTGGCGTATGTCGGTTCGTTGTCTTCAAAACTCATAAGTTTATATTCTTTAAATCTTGGCCTGATTGGTGACTCTTGCACATTATAAGCATCATTAAACTTGCGATTGTTAGTGTTAATTTTATAGTCATAGTCCATTATACGTTCTGAAGAGTACTTGTGCCTATCTTCATAACCAAGACCTTCGTCTTCATCCGATAGATTACTGAATTTATTATTTAAAGGTGAATGAAGTTTATGAGCTGGTTTATGGAAATGGTTGTTGTCTGTATCACGTATTACTTGAGCGTATACAACACCTTTGTCGGTCATCTTGTTAACAGGACTCGGTACTCTATCGGGACTAGTACTCCTTACAAATAGGTTTGGATCGGGACTAGCGCTTGGCTTCGTGTAAGAGAAGGGTTGGTTGATATTAGTTGAATTTAGTGGTGATATTAAATGGGATTTCGGCGGCGGTGACTGTTGGTCTTCCTTTAAAATCCGTACGAGGTGACCCACAGTATGTCCTCTTGTTAACGGCGGTTTCTCAGGTGGTATTTGGCTACTGTGTATCATTTCTTTATCACCATAGACGTTTTCTTCAATTTTACGGATGCTTTCTTTAATTTTATCTTTTATTTCTATCGGACTATCCTTGAATTTGTTAGAGTCTATTTCATCGACGAGAATAGTCTTTTTAATTTCTGTTTTACGTTTTGGTGTTTCAGAAATAATAGGAGATTTTTCCTTTTCAGCGGACTTGCCCCTTTTACTTCTTAACGGCGGTTTAGGATCTTGTTTTTCGGGAGTTTTGTATCTTGGTGGTTTTTCGATGGGATTAACTTTTTTGCTATCAATGGAAGTTTGATCATCGGATTTAAAGTTGTCCTTTTCAGAATGTTTCTCCTCGTAAAGCAAATCAAGCGGTGATGTCTTCTTGAAATAATCTTCCCTTGGAGAGTTTTCTATTATTGGCGACAGTTGAGATTTCTTGTTACGTAACGACTTTAGGAATTCCTCCGTTTCACTTCCAGATCTCTTTCGTATCGGTTTCGTTTTTATGAGATTAGTATTAGATTTGAGATCTGTTACGTCGCTTTTGCTTCTTTTAACGGAAACGGTTGGTTTTGTTGTCACAACGACAGGTGATTCTGGGCTTTTAGTTCTTTGCGCCCTTCTAAATAGAGTTGAAAGAGAGGTTCTTTCTTTTTTCCTTTTTGGGATCACATCACTAGTGGATCTTCCGAGTGATGTTTTTCCAGTAACTTCTGGAGTGTTTGTGTCGTCACTACTTCTTCTTGTGCTCTTGTCTTCTTTGAACTTTCTTCTGTGAGGTAAAGAGAAGAATTTCTCCGGCGGATGGTCAGCTGTGCATGTGACGCTCTGTGCCTGTGCTATTACTTTATTCGCTTCTTCTATGAGCTCTTTCTCTGATAAGTGTGTGAAAGGTTCCTTACGTATCGATGGTCCCTGATCTATTTGACTCCGTTCACGAGGTTTACCTGCAAATAAGGAAATAAGTAAAACGAGTTAGAACCATGTTAGTAAATTAAGTGTGTTAATAAAACTAGACATGAAAATTTAGTAATTACAACAAAAGGTGAGTTTATTTATTGTATGGAAGAAGTTAAATATGATATTATAAATAATAAAACAAATCAAGCTGTTATATAGATGTTGTTCAACTTGTTAAAGCTGGTTTAGTTTTTAGTATATCAACTTTATATAAGACTTTATTTCTTTTATAAACATTTGACTGAGTATCTTGAGTGTTAGAACAGAGTATTTAAAATATCGATCCGGATCTTTCAGCAATGTAATTTATAGATCTAAGTAAATAAGGTCCTTTTTATTGAATCAAATGTTTGTATATTTATTACTAGTCGTTTATTTTCATTAAAAGACAACTGGTCATGAATTGGATAGTCTTATTTTCTTTATATTTATATTCATTTAGTCAATTATTAATGTTTTGTTGTTTTGGTTTTTATTCCCTTAACATTTTTTGAAATTTTATATTGATTCAAGACGAAACACAACGAATTTTTTTATCTTGACAAGTTCTACAGACACAGAAGAGCTATCTTCACATTTAAAACTAAATCAACATTTTTATCAATTCATACGAACATAGACGTGATTAAAGTCAAAAACAATAACATTTAATGATTTGTTATGTTTTATGTGTATAGTATTACGTGTTTAACTAATAATTATTTGTATTAATGTTATTAGATGTTCTAACAAAGCGTACAACATCGCGACAAGTGTCGCGTCACAACACGATCATGACTATTTTTAGCTCTGACTTTTGGAAAACAAGATTCGTTCGAGTTTTTTGACTTAATCTTAACGACGCCTTTTAGGGTTCATCGTTACCGAACGGCTTTAAATAAGTTGTAAGTCCGCTTTGAAAACACGTGAGTTTTAAGTCACATAACTAAATATTTTATTTGTCATAAAACTTAATATATTAAGTTTAGATAAGTAAGGATTATTTCTATTTATCATATTTGTTGACGAAAAAAAAAATTATATAATATTTAGATAAAATAGTACCGTCATATGTTTATATGTTATATACATACATATAAAGCGCTCTGAATCCAAACAAGGCAATAAAATTGTACCTTTTATATAAATAATGATAGTTGCGATTCTTTATAATCATATAATGATCCTTAATACATAATCATTAAGTTCAAAGTTCCTAAATACGGAACCAATTTTTCGATAGCTCTAAAATTTACTAGATGCCTTGTTTGTTGATGTCGCCAGCGAGTCTTGATAAGGAATCAGATTTAAGAAGCTTTTTAACGAGATAATACGGTGTTATTTTCGTTAATATTAACAACATTCACAAAATATTAAACTTTTCGTTCTAGTTCACATCTCGTTAACATTAAGATTCGTGTTATGAATGCTTAATTTATTATAATTGAAGTTAATTTAAACTTAACGTAAATAGTAGGAAACATTTATGAAATTAAATTAGAAAAATCATTTCTCTGTTCATGTTTTGGTGATTATAAAACAAAATATATGAAATAAATTCCCACATGACTAAAATGAAAAGAAAAAAAAAGTAATTTATTTCAACCACATATGTAGTGGGCGATACTTAGAAAAAATTATCAAAGCTTTATTCCAAAAATATTCTCATAATAAATATTATAAAATATAAAGTAACTGATTTTATACTAAACTTAGTTTAAAGAAATACATACGTTTTCAATATTAATTGTATCTTTAAACAACATACATACATAAAGAAATTAATGCTATTTATCTCAAACCACTGACTAAAATTAATTATATCTCTCCAAGCGTAGCAAATCAAGTTTTTTACAAATAATTTTCACATCTTAATCCTCTAAATAATATACTTTAGATGACAAAAAAACTTATTCAATTAAACAAGACTAAATAAAGACGGAGCGTATGAAGTCATAGTTATTTATCACCTTTTTTGTGTTCAAAGATTATTGTCCGCGTGGGCGCAATACTGCTAACTGTATAGCGGCGCCTCGACAGTCTTATACGAATAATAATAACAATTGTTGAATTAAAAGGAATAAACGAATTTGAAATAAAATAAACGAATAAATGAAAATGTATTAATTTTTTTTGGGAGATTATCGAAAATAATATATTTGAAACAGGTTTTTGAATCTATCAGAGAAAAAATCTCGATACAGTAGTCAAAATTTTAATCTTTAATTTATAGGTTTATAAAAAATACACAGTTTATAGAATAAAAAAACAATATAGTTACATTTTAACCATTTATTTTCGTTGGATAAATACAAAACTATAAAAAAGTAACAAAAAATTTAAACGTAATTTAAGCTAGATCTTAGATACTTGTCTTCAAGTTTGTCACATAATTTAACAAGGGGTCATTAACTTCTAATTGCTTTCAAAATAATATAAAAGACTAATTTATATACATTTATTGTTAGTTAAATTAATTATTTTTATTTCATACTTTTCCAATATACGGTACTGCCAGGATGTTTGTATAAAACTTGTCCGGTTAACAGTAAACAAAAAACTAGTTGATGTCCGTATGTAAGTAAACACTGTTTACAGTAATATATCTTACACGCAAATAATCCTACTGTTATATTAAATATAATGGAATTTTGTGAATTTTAGCAACAAAAACTAGTATACGTAATTACATTAAAATGCTTGGAACAAATTATATACATGTGTGTGTGCGTGTGTGTGTGTGTGTGTATAGTTATAGTTCCCTTTTATAACACACGAAATTTGCAGGCTTAGAACGAGTTCATATCATCATACTACTCACGAAACGTTTCCCGTATCTCATTTAATAGTCAACGTTAATATAATGTAAGATTTATAAAGGTAACACTTGTATATTACGTGATTGTAACATATGGAGAGTATGCTGAGGCAATGCATCTCAAACTAAGATCCAATATATACTCAACGGTTTAGAAATCTTTGGAAATTTGTGTTATATAATACTATGATATAAATATAAATATATAATATATTTTATCATATTAAATTTAAATCTGTTTCAGAGAGAGTCCATTTACTTCGTAATCATTAAAAAAAATTTTTAGAAAATGAATTTCATATTTAATCGTTTATTCAATGATTGGTTACTATTAATAAAGATTTTCTATAGTATATATATTTTTGTCATGTATTTATTGTTTTTGTAAAACACTTGTGTAAATCATTTTGTAATGACATCACTATGACTTCTACCTACAATACTGTGTACTTAACGTTACACATAGAAATTAAGATAAATAAATGCACTGGGGCTTTGGTAGTTTAAGATTTTTTAGGCTTTGGAAGATGCTTTTTAATAAAGAAAAATAAATGTTGGAAACGTGCTATATGTTCCAAGTGTAGGTAATTGGAGTGAGATGAACCAAAGTATTTTATAGTATAAGTTACAACTATGTATAAATGAATTTGATAACAGTTTTGAATTGAAATTGAAGTATACGGTAGTTTCAAAGAGGAATCTCTGGATTATAGGATCCCATAAATTAAAAAAAAAATCAATCATAGTTTATAGATATTATTATTTTTTTAATTTAAATATATTTACGATAAAATTTCTTGATTTAAGTTCTTGTCAGAGAGAGAGTACAGCTTTTGATGTAACTTTGAATTTATTTGTAAATTATACTTATATATTATAAAATAAGATTACCAATGCCGAGGATATAACATATTTATATATTTGTCAGATAGTTTTGGTCATCGTCGTATTTATAATGTATCACATAAAGATAATTAAACCATATAATATATAACAAAAGGGGCCCCTTATCTAACGCGTGTTAAACGCTCACCACCACTGTACAAACTCCTCTCTCTAGCTAACGAAATTTGAAACAAACCTACTAGGGCTGAAATCAAAGTAATTTCCAAGAATGAAGTAGATTGTAGAGAGATTTATTAATTATACTTGTTTCCCTAGCTTCTACAGCTTACAAATTTATGACGAACCTATTATTAATTCATTAATGAGCTAGTAATACTGCAATATAATCTTTAAAACGTAATGATGTGATCAAATCATATTCTCAATAAGCCTCTGACTTGTTACTGACAATACGCGACCTTCAAAAATCCTTAATACACATATAATAAGTGTTAATTAACAATGATCAAACTTCCTACAGTATTTGATTGATATACAAAGGCGGTGTTCGCGAGCCTTGGCGGCTTCCGTTCACACATTCAGATACTAATGACACGAAGGCTGTATTGAAAGAAGATTCAATTAGATGGATTATATATACGAAAATATAAGGAAATCAATTCCGAGATATACTTAGTATAAATATGTACCTACTTTTTAAACATCAACCTATTTGTCAGGTTTTAGTTGAGAATCCAGTCTCATAGGACACAGATAAAAAGACAAAGTATGAGTACACTTATATTTTTAAATATCAATATATAAGTAATAAAAATACAATACAATAATAACATGAATATAGGTATGTGTTAAGTTGTTAAAATAAAAACTTTAAAGATAATAAATTTAATGTATTTCTGTATAATAAAAAATTAAAGACTATTATTATGTTATATTCTTGTAAAGGTGGCAATTCACTTGGCGTTTATTTGTTGAGTTCGACCAAATAAGATCATGTGTGGAGGATTTATTCGTCTTTATTTGACATATTTGCATAAATAGGACACATACACAAATAAGCGAAAACGCATAAAGACGTGTTGTTGGCATGCCAAGTGTGGATGTCGTGTTTGGACTATTTGAACTACGTATAATATTGAGACAAGTGCAGAGAATACGCAACGCTATATTATGAAGTTTATAATTTACCGCCGACAACTCTAGATTTTTTATTGTACTACTCACTCGTCAATATACTATATCATTTTTGACAATATTACTAAAATCTTTTGTTCTTTTATCGTCGTTTTACAACTATTGTTTTAAATTCGTCGTAACCAATCAACCGTATATGAGAAGAACCAT